TAAACTTGTGTCATGGGGTTTTGTTGTACAGATTATTTCTATACCCATTAGTACCCACCCAAGTATTAAGCCTTAGTACCCATTAGCTATTTTTCCTGATTCTCTCCCTCCTCCCACCCTCCACCCTCAAGTGGACCCCAGTGTGTGTTGTTCCCCTCTACGTGCCCATGTATTCTCATCATTTAGCTCCAATTTATAAGTGAGAACATGTGGTATATAGTTTTCTGTTCCTGCGTTAGTTTGCTAAGAATAAATGCCTCCAAATCCATCCATGTTCCTGCAAAGGACATAATCTCATTCTTTTTATGGCTGTATAGTATTCTACAGTGTATATGTGTCACATTTTCTTTATCCAGTCTACCTTTGATGGGCATTTAAGTTGATTCCAAGTCTTTGCTATTGTGAATAGTGCTTCAATAAACATATGTGTACATGTAAGACATGCACTTTCTTTTTTTATTTAATTTATTTTATTGTACTTTAAGTTCCAGGATACATGTGCAGAATGTGCAGGTTTGTTACATACGTGTAGTCTGCCACGGTGGTTTGCTGCACCCATTCACCGTCCTCTAAATTCCCTCCTCTCACCCCTGACTCCCCAACAGGCCCTGGTGTGTGTTGTTCCTCTCACTGTGTCCATGTGTTCTCATTGTTCAACTCCCACTCAGGAGTGAGAAAATGTGATGTTAGGTTTTCTGTTCCCATGTTAGTTTGCTGAGGATGATGACTTCCAGCTTCATCCATGTTTCTGCAAAGGACATGAACTCATTCCTTTTTATGACTGTGTAGTATTCCATGGTGTATATCTACCACATTTTCTTTACCTAGACTATCATTGATGGGCATGTGGGTTGGTTCCATGTCTTTGCTATTGAATATAGTGCTTCAATAAACATACATGTGCATGTGTCTTTATAGTAGAATGATTCATATTCCTTTGGATGTATACCCAGTAATGGGGTTGCTGGGTCAAATAGTATTTCTGGTTCTAGATCTTTGAGGAATGGTCACACCATCCTCCACAATGGTTGAACTCTTTTACATGAAATGAAATGAAATGAGACCAATAGAAGGACTGGGCATGGTGCTCATGCCTGTAATCCCTGCATTTTGGGAGGCTGAGGTGGGATTATCACTTGAGTTCAGGAGTTGGAGACCAGCCTGATAGTGAGACCTCATGTCTACCAAATAAAAATAATTTTAAAAGAAAAAAGATCAATAGATAGGAAAGGAAGAAACAATAGTCTTTCTTTGTCACCATCTTCATTGCATATGTAGAAAACACTAGGAGATTATGAAAAAGTCTTTGGAATTAATCATTGAATTTGCAAAATAATTCATAAAATATATGTAATAAGTCACTCAGATAAACATGAAAACATAGAAAACAATACTAGTCATCTAGGAAGTGCAAGTTAAAACCACAATGAGAAGCCGTCACACATCACTCAGAATAGGTAAAGTTAAAAAGACATAGGATAAGTCTAAATACTGTCAAGAATATGGAAAAAATAAGAATGTCTGATATTGCTGGTAGGAATGCAAAAAATGTGGCAGCCAATTTGTAAAGCAGTATGGCAACTTCTTATACAGTTGTCCATCTATTACCACATGACCCAGCAATTCCACAAATATGTATTTATCCTAAAGAAATAAAAATGTAAGACCACACTTGTAAGCAGTTATTTCTAGTGGCTTCATTAATAACAAACCCTAGCTGGAGGAATCCACATGTCAATCAACTAGAGAATAGAGAAACCAATGCATAAACTGGGATTCCAGCAATACTCAGCAGCTGCTCACCAACAAAAATGAGTGAATGGCATCATCTCAAACATCGTTATGCTAAGGGAGAGATCAAACGAAGGACTATACAACATATGACTGCATGTCCATTAAATTCTAGAAATTTCACTATTGCAGTGACAGAAAACAGAGTGGTGGTTGAGTGAAGGGAAGGGGTGAGGGTGGGAGGCAAGAATTAAATAGAAAGGGGCATAAAGAAGGTTTTTAGGGAAAAGAAACTGTTCTCTACAGTGCCACAGCTCAGGAGTGACTGGGTGGTGGAAACTAAGGGGAGAGGAGGGTGTGAGGGATGAGGGCAGAGAGAAGGGCTGGGGAAGCAGGAGCTGAGGACAAGGAGCAGGGGAAAGGACTCCAAAGCAGTAGAGGAGCCTAGCAGGGGGTTCTCTGCATTCGGTGTTTCTGTACCGGGCAGTGTGGTAGTTACATGACTATAAATAATTACCAATATTCACCAAAAACCGCAGCTAAAACTGGTGAATTTTATTACACGTAAAAAGGCGGGGGGAGGCAAAAATAAAGATATTTTTAGATCATCAAAACCATAAACTCATTTAATTTTAAAGGAAATTCTTCAGAGTGAAGGGAATTTTAATTTTAAAGGAAATTCTTCAAGGTGAAGGGAAATGATACTAGATGGTGACCCAGATACACAGAAAGGAACAATTAACAACAGAAATGATGCACATACACATGTCACATTCACACTCATTTTCTTAATTTCCTGAAGACATATGGCTGCTTGTCTAAAACAAAAAGTATTACACTGTATCACTGAGTTTATAATATAGATTGATGTAATATATAAAGCAATAATAGCATAATGGTAGGTTAAATGAAACTACACTGTTACAAGTATCCTTTATTTTGCCAGATGCAGTTTAATAGAACCTGAACTTCACCGTGAAAAGTCAAGGCATCGGGTTTCCATTCTTACAACAATAAAAAACTAGTGTAAAGAAATATAGCTAAAAGCCACTAGGAAAATTAAAACCATAAACTAAAACCTGTTTATTTGACACATAAGAAAGTAGCAAAGGAGGAACAGAAACAAAAAGATAGGAGACAAATTGAAAACATTTAGCAAAAAGATAAACCAAAATCCAGCCATAGTAAGTGAAGAAATGACGCGACCTTGCTCACGTTAGCAGGACCGCTGAGCACTGTGGGGAGAACAGACATGGGCAGGAGGTGAGGGACAGTGTTAGTGCCACAATTCAGGAGTGACAGGGTAGCGGGGACTAAGGGGGAGGTGTGAGGATGAGAGGGGCAGAGAGAAGGGCTGGAGAAGCAGGAGGTGAGGAAAAGGAGAGAGGAAAGAATTCTAAAGCAGTGGAAGAGCCTAGCAGCGGGGTCTTTGCATTCAGTATTCAATACATTTTGTTGGACTTCCTAAAAACTAATTGGCTCCTTACGATTAAAAAAAAAAAGAATTACAAAAATACCAAGTGTCCAGATAAAATATGCACACTGCTTAGATGTGCATAGTTCAGGAAAACAGGCAGTGTTTGAGCGTCGGTGAAGAGCATTGGGACTGCATGGAGCACTCGCAACTTTGAGGTGATGACTACAGCCTCCGGGTTGCAAGAGACAGTAACAAACCCTGCTTCTTTGTATTCAGGAGATGTTCTGGACTCACACAGAGAAACTAGGACTAGGGAATGAACGTAATTTTAAATGCAACAACTCAGTCACAGATCCATAGTCTGGGAAAGTAAAACTTAGGAGCTTTGTAATGCTGTTTTGACACAGGTCTTTTACAAATTGGATTTCTAATCATTCAGGGATTACCAATATTGTGCTACCTACTGTATTAATAAACAAAAAGGAAACTTCATCTCTATGAGAATCTCTATGTGGTGCCTTCAGACAAAACTTCACCAGGCTTAGAGAGAAAACCCCTGTCTCTACACCTCCATTCCCAGGGCGAGCTCACTCTCTGGCATGAAGTTTCCTGTGGTGAGTTCCACTGTACAAAGGTCCAAGGGGAGAGGTAAGGAGTGGGAGGCAGGGAGTCCAGTTCAGGGACGGTGATTCCAGGACGAGTAGGGAAGGGGAAGGGGCTGGGCGCAGCCTGGGGGGTCTCTCCCTGGTTTCCACAGACAGATCCTTGTCCAGGACTCAGGCAGACAGTGTGACAAAGAGGCTTGGTGTAGGAGAAGAGGGATCAGGACGAAGTCCCAGGTCCCGGGAGTGGCTCTCAGGGTCTCAGGCTCCCAGAGCCTTGTCTGCATTGCGGAGGCGCAGA